CGTGAGGGGACCTGGGGCGGGGGTGAGTCCGCACCCGCCGTGCGGGGGGCCCGGGGCGTGTGGGACGGGCTCAGCGCTGCCGGGAGCTCTGAGAACCTGCTTCGGCCGAAGAGAAGCTTGTCCAGACGTCACCCTGTCAACTGGGCTTGTAATTTGTTTTTATTTTTTAAACACTAGAACAGTTTTTTAGATGAAGAGTGGGAGAACCCAGAAGCTATCACTAATTGACTTTTCTTTCCTACCGCAGCCCTGAGGGAAATAAGCTGAGATCGAAAAGTGCGCTTGTGGAGTATTTTCGGAAAACGGGGGAGACGACGCTAAAAGCAGAGGATTTTGATTTTACAGCTCCTGCTCAGAGGAGTACGCGTTCGAGGGTGAGAAGATGCAGCACAAAAGCTGCAGGAACTGTTTTAGAGAATGAGGATTGTTACAGTCAAGGGCAAGGCCTCAGGATACAAAATGGAGCAGAGGATACAATTCAGAACATTCAGGCTGGAAAAGATCACCTGGGAGATGTTGCATCCGCTCTGGAAAGCGAAGATTCGATCGTGAAAGGCACAAACCCAGAGGACTGTGTGAAAACCAAAAAACAGGGGGCAGGTGGAAAAAGTGTTCAGAACAGGAAAACTGGAAAGAGCTCAGAAAAGAGGAACCGAGATAATACCCAAAGCAAAAGGCGGAGAAGAGTCTGCAACAAACAGGAAACGGAGGGCGTTGAAAACAAGAGGTTCTGTAGAAAGACAGATGCGCGTGTCACTGGCAGTCAGGGCATAGGTGACCAGAACACAGACCCTACGGACATGGGGAAGACTCTGTTAAGGATTTCCAGGTCACGGTCAGACACACGGCTGAGGTCAGCGACAGCTCGCTCTCAAAGAGCGTTGGAGAGCCTGGCAGAGGAGGAATGTGCAGAGACGGGTTCTCATGGTGCATCTGCTGCAAAATCTGAGGAGAAAACCAATGGATTGGAAATACGGGGAGAGACAGATCAAGGGAATCCGGGTAACCAGGATTTTAAATCTGATGCTGAAACAGATGCTAACGTCTTGCAGCCGTGCAACAAGAAAAGGTTCACAGCAGTTAAAACGCTGCCAGGTATTTGTGTGGTTTGGAGCAGAATGCTATACTAACTTTCTGACAGGGGTTCTCTTGACTGTAGGAGCGAAGTATTCGGTTCAGGCCAAGCTGCTTTGACATCTGAATCTGTCTCATTTCTTTGTCCAACAGCTGAATGCTGACTGATTCACAACTGGAACTTGCTGTACCGATCTCTTTAGCTGTATAGGATAACACAACAACATTCGTTACCTTTATGGCACTGACTCTTTTAATGTTGTTGCACTGTTGCTCAGTTTGACTCATGAAAAAGGCCAGATTTAGCTTGTTTTGTGTGCTAGAGTCAGTTTCCTCAAACTGCAGCAAATAAATGGTTTATCTTCCAAAGATTTTTCATAGAGTTGAAATACAGAGGAGCACTGGAGTGAATCTAAGGCACGTTTATGTTCTGTACACCTGTGAGAAATCCTTGTATTTCTATCATGGCATGAATGGCGTATGAAACATGACAGCAAAATACTTGTAATTGTTTCTTTTTAACACTTTAGTGTTATCTCTTTACAGAACAGGATACAGATACAGGATCTATCCCACGAACACAAGTGGATAGGAGGAAAACGAGTCCGTATTTTTCAAGTAGATACAGTAAAAAAGGTATAATGTTATTTAGGGAAACAAACCCTTTTTTTATGGGGGGAGGAACAGGATGGGTCAAGATTAAGTGATGTTATAGAAAATCTCTTCCAGTTTTAGGCTGGCCATGCTTTTGTTTTTTAGAATTATTTTCCTTTAAAAAGGTAAATTCATCCTTTACTGCACAAAAAATTTTCCTGTATTGCCTCTGTGTACAGCTCCCAGCCCACCTAGAAGGAAGGCCTTCAGAAAATGGACTCCTCCACGTTCTCCTTTTAATTTGGTCCAAGAAACACTTTTCCATGATCCGTGGAAACTTCTCATTGCAACCATATTTCTCAATAAAACTTCAGGTAAATAGAGTAAAGCAATTTCCTGTTGTGTAAGTGTTGGGGTGGTGTTTTAGGGTGTTTAGCGCAGCTGCCATTTTTTAATGGCATTAATGAAGGAATGAATGTATATTAACTTGTGTCCGTGTAAAAAAAAAACACACCACTTTAATTTGTAACTCATGCCTCTGAAAAAGCTCACTTCAAAAAGCACACATAGATAATCAAAAAAGAAAATGACCTGCACAGTCTTCTGTTCATGATGGTTTCTTTCTCTAGGTAAAATGGCAATTCCTGTGCTCTGGGAGTTCTTTAAGAAGTATCCTTCTCCTGAAGTAGCCAGGACTGCAGACTGGAAAGAAATGTCAGAGCTACTGAAACCTCTGGGCCTCTACGAACTCAGAGCAAGAACGATCATCAAGTTCTCAGGCAGGTTTTCCTGAGTGTGTCTGTGGAAGGGTCTAAATCACACCAGCCAGACAAACAGCACCATCTTCCAAACAGCTCTCTGTGACTTGTCCTTCTGTTTGGCAAATGCTGGTGGTGGTTCTGTGCAGCTTTGGGATGTGTTGGTCTGACCTGTTCAAAGCTGTTGATCCTGGTGTCTTAGCTGGGAATGAAATAACATAATGAGTCCTGCAAGAGACCCTTGTCCAGGAGAGTTCTTTGAATGTAAAAAGATACAAACATCAGGAAGACTTGATTTTGTGTTCTGCAGCACTGTGATGAGGTGGCTCTGCTCTGTTCTGCATCAGGTAGCCTCCAGAGGGCCCCTCCAGTTGGAATTTTCCTGATTCTCAGATTTTCTATACTTAGAATAAAAGTATTCCTCTGTGGTTTCTGAGGAGAGAGGTTTAATTAAAACTCAGCCGCAGTGATTTGTCTAAAAGGTGTTTAAGATATACCCCATAGGGACTCATCGCCTGCTTTCACCAGGAAATGGCTCAAACTTGTGGTTTTCATTTAAAATTTTCCAAAGTGGAGACATGTTAGAATAGCAGAGAATCCAGAGTCGCTTTCTGCGACCTGCCCGCCTGCAGGCAGTGAAGTCCGTGACCGTACGTTGCAGATGAGTACCTGAGCAAGCGGTGGAAGTACCCCATCGAGCTGCACGGGATCGGGAAGTATGGGAACGACTCCTACAGAATCTTCTGTGTCAATGAATGGAAGGAGGTGGGTGGTGCGGCCGTGCAGGGCTCTGTCCTTTGGCTTCGGTGGCTTTGTCCCTATGAACTCAGACTAAAATAAAAAAGGTAATTTTTATCTCTTCAGTAGGCTCAATTCCCAGAATGTACATTTACAAGTCTGAACATGTAAATGAAGATTTGTGTCACCTTCATTTTTTTTTTTCTGTGATTTTCCACTTCTACTGTGTTCTTTTTCTTCGTTCCTTGCTGTGGGGGTGAGAGTCTCTTCCCTGCTCCAGTTACCAACCACTCCCCTGTGTTTCCTGCCAGACAGATCCTGGCATCCCTCCAAGATGGGTGTTGGGGGGTCCTCTCGTGGCAGATGACTGAGGGGCCGTTTTCCTCTCTGGCATAGGACCCCCTCCCGATTTCGTGGGGGGTGCGCGGTTTTGGGGCTGACCAGGAGCTGTGTTCCTTGGCTGGGGGGGCTGGCCTGCTGCAGCTCAGCGTTTCGCTGCTCCCTGCCAGGCACAGAGGGGTCCTGAGCTGGGAGGAGAAACACCTCTGAGCAGCAAGGTGTGTGAGAGAAGGTGTTTTAGTCAATGTTAAACACTTCTGTTGTGCTGTAGGTGCAGCCGCAGGACCACAAGTTAAACGTGTACCACGCGTGGCTGTGGGAGAACCGGGAGAGGCTGAGCATCGACTGAGACCAGCTGTGAGTGTCCCTCGGTCCTCGCTGCTCGCTCGCGCTGTGCGGTGGGTGTCCTTACAGCCATCGAGTTCTTAATTTAAATATCTGTGTGACACACCTGGCACGGGTCACCACTGTAATAAAATGTTTAAATCTCTGTATTTTTTTAATAAACATATCCCCGTTCTTGCAGCACCTGTTCGTTCCAGGCTGCTGGACCAGCCCTGCTGCTCCTGGCTGGTGGTGGGGGTATGCACCTGCCCCTGACCGCGGGGACTGGGGCTGCCCACTGCTCTCCTGTTCGCCCGCCAGTTCCTGGCGCGGCCCTGCTCCCTCCGTGGGATCCACCTCCTGGCCGGGGACTGCAGGAACTGGTACCCTGGGGCTGCAGTGAAGCGTCAGGATGCTGCGAGGGAGCAGGCAGTGACAGCAGAGAGGCAGATTCTCCCCTCGCTGCACGGCCGCTTCTGTATGTCAGTGAAGTCACCGGGTTGTGGTGCCTGGCGAGAGCATCACCATCCAGTTGGGTCTGGTTCCGTACCCTGAACGTGCAGAGGGCTACAGAGGTGACAAATCTCTCCTAGGAAAGTCCTCCTCAGACTGACCCTGCACTCTGAAATCCACTCAGAGAATATTTATTCTTGTGGAGGAAAGACAAGCCTGAAAAATTGAGCTTTGATCTTGGGTGGCCTCATGGCTGCAGCTCCCCTTCTCCCCGTACCCTGCGTTTCCCTGCTTAAACCCAACAGCAGAACTGCTCAGGCCATTGGCATGGGTTAGTTTTTTTTTTTTCAGACAGCAGTAAAGAGCACTTTGGAAACAAAAGCTCTGCTCAGGGCTTAAATGACTGGATTGTCATTTCAGAAGTGGTGCCTTTGTTCGGGTGGGTACAAGAATTGTTTCTCAGAGACAAGCAGCATGGTCCCACCTACCTCCTGCCAGACCAGGGCTGCCAAAGTGGCCCAGAAATTTCTCTTTCCAAAAACTGAACAATACAAACCTCTTTACATTTATGGAGAAAATTTTAGAGAGAAAAAATATAGCAAAGGAGAGCAGAACGTTCTTTGTTAGCTCAGTTAAAGAGTGTTTTGATAGGGCAGTGGTGGATGGTGTGTTGAAGAGAGCTTTCCAAGTTGGCATTTACAATGTAAATAACGTATAATGAGAACAGATATACCCGGTTTATGCAGCAAATATTTTGAAGGAAAGTGGGATTAAAGTTCTCTTCAAAAAGGTCATTTGTCCGCCTGGGTGGAAAGGTTGGCAGGCTGAGCGTGCTGCTGAGGAAATACAGGGGGATCATCACCTCGGGCTGTTAAACAGTGGGAGCCCTGATCCTGGGAAAGGATCAGAAAAGGGCACGGGGCTGGCGGGGGTCCCCCGAGCCCTGGGGGCTGGCTCTTGTCACTCTCGCTTTTGCCGTCACTGGCAGCATTATTATTATATCTTTTTTTTTTTTGTCAGTTTGAAAGGAA